AACGGACGGACGACACACACACGACGACACACACACACACACACACACACACACACACACACACACACACACACACACACACACACACACACACACACACACACACCCACACACACACACTGGCGCCCACCACCATTGTTCCATCAGCGCATGATTGGGTGAGAGCGGTCGCCTGACTCCACCTAACACTAATCTATCGCCAGTTATGCGAATATAATTCGCTATGAGCCAGCGCGAGCGTTTGCCACGTTCGCCGAATTAGTGACCGTACTATCGCCATGGGGACGGATGGATGTAGGTGTGTGGTCAACATGGGTACGCATGGATGTAGGTGTGTGGTAACCATGGAGACTGATAGATGTAGGTGTGTAGTCACCATGATGACGGATATATACGTTATGTATACGTTATATATATATATATATATATATTTATTTATTGATGTTATATAGATTTCGCACTGTCCCTACCTGTAGTTGTCCGACATGGAGATGGGAGGCTGAGGTATGGAAGGGTACATGTTGTTGGGAAAGCCGCTGTTCATCTGCAGACGACTGACGGCACCGGCAGGTCCGAAACTCTCCTGCGTACGCCGCTGATTGCGCAACTTCTCCTCCCGCCGCCATTTTGCGCGTCTGTTGGAGAACCAGACCTGCGAAAGAATTTTCGTCCCCAATTAGCGCCAATTAGTCGTTAATTATCTCTTCACGGGGCACGGGGGAATTATTCGTGGGTCGCATGTATGTTGGAGTTGTGAAGGCAGAGACGCGGTTCGAGATAGACGATTGTTTCAATAGAATCGATTATTTTTTCGTTGAGACGAAGAATTGTTTGTATTTGATTGTGTCGTTAAACGACAAGACATCTGTATATAAGAAAATGCAGCACAAAATATTATCAATCCGAGTAGCACGATTGAAATGAGGCGGTTTTTATAATTGATATATTTGATCATAGAATAAATTTATTTCGACAGACTGAAAACTTGTATGTGACTCTTCGAGACGCCAAAAGGTCAATCTAAAGGCATAATCGAAAAATAAATTAAAAGAGAAAACTTGATAGGTTAGATTTAAAGGTAAATTTTAATTGTCAATTTAAATGTAAAATTAAAAGTTAAAAATAAAAATGAGCATTTGAAAGGTAGAATTAAATATCAAGTTGAAAGTTTAAAATAAAGTGTGTAATGAAAAGATAAGTTTATTTTAATAGTTAATTTAGAAGGTAGTATTACCTGTATGCGTGCCTCGGGAAGTCCGATCTTCGCCGCTAGTCGCTCTCTGGCAAACACATCCGGGTAGTGAGTTCGTTCGAATTCTGAAATAAATGATTTACGCATTAAAAAAAAAGGAGAAAATAATTTCCATCTTAAGCGCAGTAATTTTTACCGCCGCGTAACAAATAAATAATGACGTTCCCCCGTTAACGTAATTCGTCAGATCTCGGTTTGAACCGCACGAATGAAACATTCAGCCGCAGGCAACCCGAAATTTCGGCCCGCTGAAAAAAATTTGCAGCCTGTAGTGGCGCCACCTGTACCGCGAGCAGACAAGAACGGATGCTGTATTGCATGGATAAGGTTCACATCTGCGTCTCTCCCCGCGTTAGCAGCAGCAACGCATCTCAGTCGTACAGCCGCAGCTGCTGATAGCGTACAACGCGCGCGCGTGCGGCGAAGATAATTAAGTTATGAATATAAATAATCGCTTAATATTTGTCTCATTACCGTGGCCTGATTCAATTTGTTATGCCGGCGAAAAATTGCCCATCTTGTTCATTTGATTATGAGCTCATTCTGGCGGTGACACATGCGCGGTTAATGTGATGGATATCCAGCGATATTCATCGTTCTCTTGTCCGGGGCGGCCGCGCGCGCGTATTAATTCAGAATAATTATTTTTAAAGTTTTCTCGTTAAATTTGATAAGATGCCTAAAAGCGTGCGAGATTGCGAGGTGTGAATGAGGGAGAGACAGATGTGTGTATGTGGGGTGGGGGAGGGGGTAGAAAGGCAGGCGCATCGACTAGATGAAAGGGTATGAGTGGCGAGCGAGAGCGAGAGAGCGTGCGCAAAGAATAACGAGGAAGAGGAAAAGATGGAGAGAGAGAGAGAGAGCGAGAGAGAGCAAGAGAGCGCGAGAGAGAAAGAGAGCGAGAGAGAGAGAGAGAGAGGGAGTGAGAGAGAGCGAGAGAGTAAGAGAGAAACATAGAAGAGGGAAAGAGGAAAAAATATAGGAACGATAAAAAAAACCGCCGCTGTATGTATAAATCTAAACAGGTACCCTCCTAAATGCATCTTTTATGCATTCTATTTAAAAACAAATTCGGAATTTTATCCTTTATCATTTCTGCACTGCATTCAATACAAGCAACCGGAAGAGAATTCTGAGCATCGTGCAATGTTGAGCGGCGGCCGACACAAACCGCAGCCGACATCGTTTGTCCGCAAACAACGGGCGTGCGTCACACATTAAAATTCACCGCTTTCCTCTCTCGCTCTCTCCTGCTCTCTTCTGCTCTCTGCTCTTGCTCTCTCTCTTTATCACTATATATATATTTAATTTATCCCTCGTCAATAATGCGAGATGAGTATCTTCGCGATATGCACGTATAGACACACATACAACACGCACACACCCGCGTACACGAACACACATGCACGAATCAACGGTCTGCGCGGGCGCACACACAACAACACACAACACACAGCACACACACCACCACACACAGCACAAACCACACACACACACAACACACACCACACACACACACACACACACCACACACACACACACAACCACCACACACACACAGCCACCACATCCACCACAAACACCACACACGTCACACATATCAACGCACCGGGCACGCACACACCGCGTACAGGAGCACCCAGACGAGACAGTTGCGCTGCGCACACAACACACATACACACACACACACACACACCACAGCACACACACACAACACACAAACACACATAATCACACATACACACACACCACAAACACACCACCACACACTAGCAACACACACACACACACACACACAACCACCACGTATTGTTATCGTGTATGCTGCGCATACGGACCGGCCGACCGCACATGTTATTTATTTTAAAAAATGGAAAGCAGATGAAATAATTCAACGGTAATACTATTTGCAGTCGGGCGCAGTTCATTGCCGGCACCCGAACAATAACAATGGAGCGTACAGCACCGCCGCGACACACGCCCTTCTCTCTCTCTTACCTCTTCTTCTCTCCTCGTCCTGCCTGGGGCGGCACCCGCTGCCCGTCAAGTAATGGCGGGGCTCGACGAATCTTCTTCTGCATGCACTTGGAGTATTCTTTTACAAAAAAATCGGGCCTCGGTGCGGCGGCGGGCTGGCGATGCAGGGAGAGGAAGGGATTCGATTCCGCAAGTGCCGTAAAATTTCAATACGAACTCTCAGAGAGAAAGAGAAGAACCGAGAGCAGAGAGAGATGAGAAGACAAAGTTCGGCCTCCTTTTGATTTTTGGCGTTTCGTTAATTTCCTGATCTGGGCGGGATTTTCTGGCCGCCGCACGTTTTGTTGTTCGTGCCAAAGGGTTATCGCGCAGCTATTTCCTCTTTTGGAGCTTTTTTCTCAACGATTTTCCCCTATTGTGAGAATCGCGATCCCCACAACATGGCCCGTTCCGCTTGCCCTAGAGGAGAGAGGCAGTTAGCATAGCCACACGAATGTGGGCGTGATGCCGTGGGACTGCGAGAACGGTTTTGTTTTAAATGTTATAGTTCCCGAACACGCGGTGGCCGCTGCGCCGCGCGCCGCCCGCCGGCGCGCGGACGTACGTAGCACTGTGATCGATACAGGAATTTGTGAAAGCGAATAAGTCGACTCATTCAAACTTGGAGCTTTCATGTATTCATCAGCGTTGCTTTCATGTTAGGGTCTACGGATTAGTCGCATCTCCGCCGTTGGACAGAGAAGTGTTGATGAGGGATCATGTGTTAGGCAGCGGACCCTGGCAAGCGCCATAACAACGCAGCAGCACACGCACAGCAGCAACCGCAGCAGCTACAGCAGCACAGCCAGTACAGCAGCAGTAAGTAGCAGCAGCACCACCCCCACCACCAGCATGCGCAGCAGCAGTACAGCGTAGCCGCCAGCAGCAGCAGTAGCAGGTAGCAGCAGCGCAGCACGCAAGCAAAGCAGCAGAGCAACAGCAGTAACAGCCATCAGCCGCAGCAACAGACAGCGACAGCCAGCGTGCACCGGTTTTTATCATTAATTACTATTCATACTATAATTATATAATATACTATATATAACTATATTATATTATATCCAGATTTAATGCATTAACTTTACGTAATTCGAGTTGCATTCTTCATTTGGCTTCTTCTGTTTCGTTTACCCGCTGTGCGTTGTTAGGATGCGGTTATGGAAACCCGGACTACCTTCCTTAAGTGATTCTGATATATGTCTCCGGCGTCATTTTATGTCGTTTTGTCTCCGCGAAATATAATTAAGTCTTTGCGATTGGAAGCGGGCGGCGTCTTGGCTGTGTTGCTCTTTACGTTGCGAGTTGTAATTTGTTTTTCCTGACTGACATCGGTGGTCCCACTGCGCGCAATGCATATGTCTAATGACATACATTACGATTCCAACCTTATCCGAATATATATTAGTACCATATTATCGTAACTGGAACAATGGACCTATGTACGCTGCAGAAGTTCCTACTATGAGCAGCCAGAATGCAGTGCTGTCGAGATGGCTCATTAACTTATCACCCTATAATCATATAACTATATATACTATCCTAATATATTATATAAATATTATTTCGACATAAAAAATTTCTTAAGGTGTATTTTATTATTTTGTTAATCTTGCTCAACTCTCTCTCTCTCTTTTTCTTCTTTTCACACACCACACATCGCACACACTCCACCGCACGCACGCACGCACGCACGGCACGCACGGCCAGCACACTCGCACGGCACGCACGCACGCAGCACGCTACGCCCCTCCCCAACACACACACATACCACACACACACCACACACCACACACACACACACAAACACCACCAAACAAACACACACACACACAGCGCACGCACACGCACACAACCACACACACTTTCACACAGCACACCACACACACAAACACACTATATATATTATAATATATATATATATACAACAATATAATTGTATAAATGTGTAGAAATCTCACCCTTTTCTAGAGCTTCAATCTGTTCATTCGTGAACGAGGTTCGATTGCGTTGCAGCTTGCGCTTTAGGCGCATGCGCATTTGGCTATCGTCAGCGTCCCCGTGCGATGACGCCTCGCCCGCCTCCGACCCGCTCTCTGTAAACAAAAACATAAACATGTAACACATATAATAACACATTTGCACATACATGTAACACATATTAACACATTCACATAAACATGTAACACATAAAAACACAAAAATATAAACATAAACACATTAACAGCGCTCAAATTAAATAAACGCGTGCGAACAATACCTGTAGAAACCATGCACTCTTGATGAGTGCGTAGATTTTTAGATTTGTTATCCGTTCAAAATAAAATTATCACGTTGATTATACTAGTAAATAAATTCAGGTATACCATATACATAGGTACATAGGTACATAGGTAATATATTAGAAAATGCGTGTTGAATATTGTTCTGCACGTCAAATCCAATTCCGTCTTCTTCTCCTCTCTTTACCCATCTCCAACGCCTCCCCTCTTCCACCCCTCTCCCCCTTTCCATCCCCTCCCAATCAATTCGCTTTCCATCCCCTACATCCCTCATCTCTTCCACTATTTCCTCTTCATTCCCTTTTCCATCCCCTCTCCATCGCCCCTTCTCCCCCTCTCCATCCCCTCTCCATCGCCCCTTTCCCCTCTCCATCCCTTCTCTATCGCCCCTTCTCCCCCTCTCCATCCTCTCTCTATCGCCTGTTCTCCCCCTCTCCATCTCTCTCGATCCCCTCTCCATATCCCCTTCTCCCCTTCTCCCCTTCTCCATCTCCCTCCTTCATCTCCCCTCCTCCATATCACCCGCTATGCGCGTCTGACAGCTTCGCGCCTCGTCGTGAGTATAGCAGCCGATCCCTGCGATCGCGAACACACGACAACGACACATGATTCATGTCGGCGGGAAAAGGAAACTCTGCCGCAATCTCCAGCAACTACCGCCGCCGACAACGACGACGACGACGACGCTGACGATGCCCCGAGGCGGAGCAAACAGCCGGGCGATATATAGCGGGATACGAGTCGATATATTGAGCCGCCCACCGCGAGTGTTCGCGCATGCACGGGCGAGTGGGAGAGGCGGCCGCAGCTGCGTGTGCCTGGAAAGTCTCCCGCCATTCATGGGTACCCGCACCGCCCGCCCGTCCGCAGGTCCCACCCACCCCTCCCCTTCTTCCCCCTCCTCCCCCACCCCTCATTCCCCACCCCTCCCCCTGCGCGCGCGCGTGCGCTCCCAATATCAGAAACACATTTGTGTCGATTTTCGCCCGCAGGCAAGAAATTGGATTAAATGTACTTCACGCCACAGTTCGATTCGGCTAATGCATCTAGCGGCCGCGTGTTTTCGCGTTCACCGATAGGCCATTTGAGTGAAAGCTTTGTTTGGCTTGCATCGCGCGCGCTGGGCGAGTATTTCGCCTCGCGAGAGAGCACACTACTACACGTGTTCGTTCGTCACGCCACCTGCTGGCCAGCATGTCGACTCTCACGCCGCTCGTCTGCTTATAAAGTAAATAAAGTGCAATTGGACTGTTTGTTATTCAAGACGCGCTGGTCCGAGCGTTACGCGATTTTCTGCATCGAGGTTCAAGCTTTCACTCGACATGTCACACTGCCAGGCATGAAGGCAGAGAGGCAGGGAGGGAGGGACGGAGGCAGGCAGAGAGGGAGGCAGGGAGGGAGGCAGGGAGACAGGCAGAGAGGGAGGCAGGGAGGGAGGCAGGGAGACAGGCAGAGAGGGAGGCAGGGAGGGAGGCAGGCAGGGAGGGAGGCAGGCAAGCACGCACGCAGCCAAGCAAGCAGACAGGGAGAGGTAGGGAGGGAGGAAGGGAGGCAGGGAGGCAGGAAGGTAGGCAGGCAGACATTCCTTCCCCCCTCTCTCTCTCTCTTCCCCCTCTCTCTCTCCCTCTTCTCCCTCTCTCCCAATCTCTCTCTCTCTCTCCCTCTTCCCACTCTCTCTCTCTCTCTCTCCCCTCTTCCCCCTCTCTCCCTCTCTATTTCCCCCTCTTCCCACTCCTTCCCGCCTCTCGACGCGGTGACGTCATGCGCTCGACTCGCGGTAACGGTCTGCGCAATGCTGATGTAATTTCTCACTCACCTGAGCGCGGGAATCGAATTTCCCGCGCAATTTGCACAGAAAGTGTTATTTAGACACGAGCTAATTGTGTTTTCTGCATCGGAGTGTTCGCACCGTGGCAAATCTCACGCGCCATTTCTCTGCCAATTGGCGCACCTTTACTTCTCACAATCGCCGGCAATGTTCGCGAAGCGTCACGCAAATCGTCAGCCGAGAGAGAGAGAGATAGAGGGGGAGATACAGGAGAGAGAGAGGGGGGAGGGGGAGAGAGAGAGGGGAAGGGGAGAGAGATGCAGAGAGAGGAAGGGAGAGAGAGGGATAGAGAGAGAGGGAGAGAGAGGGGTGAGAAGGTGAGAGAGGGGAGGAAGAGGGGGAGAGGAAGAGAAAGGGGGAGAGAGAGAGGGAGAGAGAGAAAGAGGGAGAGAGGGGGCGAGAGAGATAGGTGAGAGGAGAGAGAGAGAGAGAGAGAGAGAGAGAGAGAGAGGGGGCGAGAGAGATAGGTGAGAGGAGAGAGAGAGAGAGAGAGAGAGAGAGAGAAAGAGAGGGCGAGAGAGATA